ACTGCCATATCCCACCCTTCAAACCGAAATACAGCCATGCAAACACAACTGCTTCACGGTAGAAACGTAAATGGGACAGAGGTATCCAAGCAAACGACTTTTATACAATCTCCCTCAGGTCATTTAGATTCGGTATTTGGTTTCATTTGGAGATTGTTTCTGTGATAATTAAAAAAAATTGCTTACCATTTCATTAAGTTCTCAACCGACTTCAAAAAGAAAGAATTTCTTAGTTTTTTAATGTTCATAACCTCTATAATTCCCTTAGACCGGTCCCAGAGAAATTTTATCAAATTGCGCTCAGTAGTTTAGTTTTAAATGAAAATAACTGTTTTTTTTTTTATATATATAATTGAAGTCTTCTTTTTTTGTGGAACTCTAATTATAATGAATCGAGACCATAGTAGCCAACATATTATAATGACAAGAAATCAGCTTTCCACTTTTAGTATAATTATAAACACTCACTTCCTAGCTCGCAGCGGGAATTGAGTGAAACGCGCCAATACACAGCGGGGCGACTACAGCTGACACATACGAAATAAAAATGTCCACCCTACCGTACCGTAGTAGTTGATTTTTTTACCATAGATTTATTTAAAACTATCTGTTTCCCGCTGCTTTGTCTGCGTAAATCACTGTAAAAAATATCCTACGTGTTAAGTTAGGATATAGTCAACCCGTGTGCAAAGTCTCATTCAAAATTGTTTAGACGTTTAAACGTGACAAACATATTACAACTTTTACATTTATATTAATTAGGATTAAGTGGTTTTTTATTATTAAGTTCGAAGTGGTACTGAGTCGATGTAAGTTTTTTTATGCAACTTCGAATGGCAAACAAGCTGACGGCCCACCTGATTGAAAATGGTAACCGTGGCCTATAGACATGAACAGTACCGTGTACATAACAGAGTATACTGTTTCGCCCATGATACCCCCCGTGCGTTGCCATTCCTGAGGACTTCGGTGTTATTCCTCTGTACCGTGTAAATTCACTGCCATATCCCACCCTTCAAACCAAAACACAGCCATGCAAACACAACTGCTTCACGGTTGAAACACGAATGGGACAGAGATGTTCAAGCAAACGACTTTTGTACAATATCTCCCTCTGGTACATTTACACTGTACAAATATGCCAAACAGTATTTGATCATTATGAAAATTCATAACTTTTACAATTTATATTGAAAGAGAACAAGTTTGCATTACCATCAGTTCCCAAACTAGGCCTGTATCTTGGGTATTAAGAATATAATATAAATAACTTCATTTTTTTAAAATATGAGCGAATCCGAATATGAGTTTTTTTTTATAGGTGCAAATGGTATGGTAACCCCGCCTGCGCTAACGGAATACGCTGGCGGAGCACCAGTGAAGAGTGATAGATGAGAAAGAAAACAGGCCAGTTAGCCCATCATGATGAATTCATCAGGAATTAATCATGATAGTTTCCAGGGGGAACCGCGAGGAGGTCGACTTAGTTGGGTAAATTGCTAGCAATAGGATTCTCAGTCTCCGTTACTAACAATCCCTTCCCCGCCCGCGAATATGAGTTGGCATTTCAATCTGTTGAACAAAGTAGTTCCGAAAAACACACCGCCTTTTTCATTTGGAATGGCAAAGAAGCTGACGACCAACTTGATGGAAAGTGGTAATAATAAAAGGCCCCTGAGTGAAGCAAATTGTTAGTAATGGGATCTAACTGACCCATTGCTAGCAATACACCCTACCAGGTCGATCTCCACGCGGTTCCCTCTGGAAAGCATCGTGGTTATTTCTAGTGGAATACGTCACGATGGGCTAAGTGACTTCGGTCGTCGCCTATCATCCTTCACTGGCGCCCCGTCAGCGTATACCGATAGCGCAGGCGAGGTTACCATTCCATTATCGCCTATTAATATACATATATATTAATGGGCGAACTAGGTACCTCTGTCGCATTCGTGTTACTACCGTGAAACAAAATTGAAGGGTGGAATATGGCGTGAATTTACAGGGTACAGAGGAATAACACCTGAGTCCTCAGTAATGGTAACGCATGGGGGGGGGTATCATGGGCGAAACAGTATACTCTGTTATGTCCATGGTACTGCTCATGTGTATAGGCGACGGTTACCACTGTCCATCAGGTGGGCCGCTAGTTTGCCACTATTAGCTTACTACGCATGTGCTATGTTTAGTAAGTACATAACAATTATGACGATTGTGCAGCACCAATCTTATTCAACGTACTGACCTACATACTATTTTTATTGTTTATATCGACTGCTAATTGTCCATTGTTAAACATATACCTTCATAAAGGGGGGTTTTTTTTAGGTGATAATGAAATAGTGACCCGACCCGCGCTATCGGTATACACCGGCGGGGCACCAGTAAGGGATGATAGGTGAGGATGAAGCAGGTCTGTTAGCCCAGCCTGACAAATTCAACGAGAATTGTTCACGATGGTTTCCAGGGGGAACCACGTGGAGGTCGACCTGATAGAGCATATTGCTAGCAATGGGGCTGACAAACTCCATTGCTAACAATCCCTTCCTCCCCATAAAGGGGGGGTTTGCCAGTAATTGCCGCATCTGGCAGGCGGGTTGACAACCGCGGTTAGACATTGATGTTGTTTCAAGAGGGACGTTGCTCTCCATCCCTCGACCATTGAGTTAGTTTAGTCGCCTCTTACGACACCCACGGGAAAGGAAACAGTGGCCTATTCTATGCCGGGACCACACGGCGGATGCGGTACAAAAGGCGGACTCAATGCTAGTAACATTCTCTACCAGTCAACCTTTGGGATGAACAGTGAATGAACGTGGTGAACATTATTGGGTTAGGTGAAGAAAATAACAGCTAATAATGTATATATAAATAATATAAAATGATGATTATAATATATAAAGGGGAAAAGGAATTGTTAGCAATGGGGATTATAATAATAATATACTATATCAGGTCGACCTCCACGCGGTTCTCCCTGAAAACCATCGTGACTAATTTATCATTGAATTTATCACGGTGGGCTAACTGACCTGCCTTTTCATCCTCACCTATCATCCCTCACTGGTGCCCCGCCAGCGTATACCAATAGCGCGGTCTGGGTTACCATTCTATTATCATCCGTTAAAAAAAAACTTTAGACATTGATTCAGGAATTGAAATAAATCATTATTGCAGCGAATAGAAAAAAAAAAATTAACTGCATTTTGTTTAAGTATTTGTTTTTTAGAATCCTTGAGCGTTCTAGAAAAGTATTTAGCACAGACACAGGTTTTTTTAGACCTTTTTTTTCTGATTGTATGCCAGTGTTGCCTACAAGGAAAATTGGCTGCATTCAATGTACAAAGACGCAGACAAAAAACTCATTTACGTTAAAGTAACCTCTGTCCCATTCGTGTTTCTACCGTGAAGCAGTTGTGTTTGCATGGCTGTTTCGGTTTGAAGGATGGGATATGGCGTGAATTTACAGGGTACAGAGGAATAACACCTGAGTTCTCAGGAATGGCAACGCATGGGGGGTATTATAGGTGAAACTGTATACTCTGTTATGTCCATGCTACTGCTTGTGTCTATAGGCGACGGTTACCACTTTCCATCAGGTGGGCCGTCAGCTTGTTTGCCATTCTAAGTCGTATAAAAAAATTTTGCTTATTGTAAAATTAATATAAAATAACAATTTATCTTTCTATCTATCTATCTATACCGTGCGAAGTCGAAGCGAATTGCTAGTATTTAAGAAATTCAATACAATATTAATTTAATATGCTGCTTACCCAACTAATCTAAGCTACAAATCGAGGAGGGGGAGGGATTGTTAGTAACGCAGACTACCAGTCGCATGAGAAAGAAATGGTGAAAGATGAGAATAAATGTTTCCATTCTCATCTTTCACCCTTCACTGGTGCTCCGCCAGCGTATCCCGTTAGCGCAGGCGGGGCTACCATACCATTTTCACCCATAAAAAAACAACAACACATGAAGAGACAGACGGACAGACACGAAGAAATTATAAGGTTCCGTTTAAGTTGTTTGACGACGGAACTCAAAAACGGCGCGCAGAGAGCGGCGGCAGAATGTAATTAGAGCTTAGAATTAATTTATGGTTTCGTTGTTGTCGTGAACTCGTGAATCATACACCAGTGTTGCCAGAAATATGAACAATTTACCATTGTATTTTTGTGGAAAATATAATAAAACATAAAATAGATATAAACTTACATTACCTTTATATTTATTGTACTCCACACTAGCTGTATCCCGTGGCTTCGCCCACGTGTATCAGCACATAAGATATAATCTACCCATGTACCAAATATTCATTTAAATACATTTAGTAATTTATGCGGTAAAATGTAAAAAAAAAAAACATTATCCAACCATATAAACTTTTGCAATTACAATATTAATAGGATTATAATATCTTATTAGTGAAATGTCAGTCGGTATTGAGTGGTATGGAATGTGCTTCCAGGTGTTCTTTAGCTGGATTTTCAAAACACAAAGCTTTTTTTGAGCTTTATACCTAAAAACATGCTACGTCTATATTGTTTTTTACTTTACCAGTATTATCACTATAAATTAATTATATTTTACACTTGTACGTAAAATGAATAGCAGAACGTTGCTCTTTGCAACATACGCATTAATTTATTTATTTATTCACATTTCACACACATGAATGACTATCTATAATTTATATTTTATTTAGTTAATAGTATAGTATGTAGTTGTAGATGCATGTTTCTAAAAGTAAGTTTAGTCTCTCTCTGTCTCTCTCTTCCTATTTCTCTCTCTGTGTGTGTATACTCACATGTCGTACTATAATTTAAAAAATCCTGTTTACATCCATGTATTCCTTTATTCCATTTAAAATAACTGGATTTTTTTAAAATTAAATACAATTATAATACAAAATCGTTTAATTTTTACCCCATTTCTCAGCATAATTTTCAATGCTGGCCACACCACCCCCTAACGCAGTCCGTACAATCATTTGGTCGCTCGTTCCTTATTTCATTTCTCGATTAGCCCGTTGAGTGTGCGACGGCGGGATCGTCTCGCCAGTTCAGTTTACGTTCAACCGGCAAACGGTACTGACAGTTTTAATATTAGTCGTAGGAAACTTTAAATTAAATAAACACAAACATGAGGGAAATAGTGCACCTTCAGGCCGGACAGTGCGGGAACCAGATTGGCGCAAAAGTAAGTGATTTTAATTTCAAATTTGCAACGTTCCATTTGACAGTTACGTTTCAATTTTTTTTTTCATTTACAGCAAGCAACTTTTTATTTTTTTTATTTTTTATTGTAAGATCTTTGAGTATTTATACTGATTTAAATAAAGAGACCAGTCGATGTTACTGTAAAATTTTATATTAATTATTTATTAAGTTGCCATTATTGCCAACTTATTACGAATGAAAGTAGCATGCATCTGTCAAATCGTCATAATTTCGTTTTGCTCCACTTTCGTTGTGTGTAATTAGTTTAACACTTTTTATTAGAGAATCATGCTCTCGTTTATTACAATTAGCGTTCATTAACGCGAGAAGGTACTTCGGAATCTTTCATGTTAGTAACAAAAAAGTAAAATCGGTAAATACTCCGTTCTCACTGTTTTTTGAAATTATTTTTGAGTGCTACCTACTTAATAAAGTTGTTATTTCGATCATTGTTATTTCAGAAACGGCAAAAACTTTAATTGTTCTATTTTTATGTCAATATATAATACCTGTATATTTGTATGTAAAATCACTAATTAAAAAAGAAGCCATTAAATGAAAATTATTTAAAAAAACCTTTCGTATAATTTTAATCCATTGTTATGTATGTACAGAAAGTTACATTATATATTTTTTATTATTAAACCAACCTAAATAAAAATCGAAACTAAATAGTATCTATCTATAACTCTTAATTCGAATATAGAATTGAAACTTTTTAAAATTTTCACTGTTTTTTTTAAACTTATGTAAGTATCGAATACTAATGTATAATGCCTAGTTTTTTTTTTTTATACAGATAAAAAATCTTTTCACAACGGTTTAGAAAAGAGAAAAAAAATATTCTCTTTTAGGTATAAATAAATAGCTTTCACTGTGCGGTTCTAAGTGTGACAGTGGCGACTGTGATTGTGCTGTTCTAATGCTTTTTTATTGGAGCAAAGCAAAAACCGATATGCTTTCTAATTAAATATCCATGCGACGCCGGCAAAATTATAAGTTGCAGAATAACGACATTTTCTTTTTTATTATTCTTGCAAATTCTAAAAATGTTTAGCTGCTCCATTGAAATTTTTTTTTAATAAATTTTTCACGTTATTAAAATTATTACGATTTTAACTGATTTTAGAAGAAGAAATAATTTATTTATTTACTATTAATAATTTCTGTATTACTATCGGTGTAAAATCATTATAAAATGGTAATATTAGTATTCAGACAGAATCTGAAATATATATATAGCAAGCTAAAGTGGCAACGTGCTGGTCACTTAGCTCGAAGAATCGACCAGGACTATAGGAAAGAAAGATTCTTAAGTAGCGACCCCGTACGGACAAACGCAGTGTAGGTTGCGCCCTCACTAGATGGAGTGACGACTTCAAATACACTGTAGGGAATCAGTAGATGCAGGTGACTCAGGACCGTCCCTTATGGGGCAGTCTATGGGGGAAGTGTGAATATTGACATTTGAGAACGAAATGTAAAGTTTGATACTTTACAATACATAAGCCTAAGAGGTTTAAGTGGTAGTAAAAATCCATAGTTTTTTTTAATGTATAATTAAAAAAAAAAGTCAATGTTTAGTAATGGGCAGTTAACGACTGATGTATGATGGTAACAAATATACTGACAAATAGGCACCAAGATGGTGATGATTTTCTTAAATTAGTTTTTTTTTTTTATGTAATTAAGGTGTTTTAGTGATGGGTAGTCTGTGCTTACCTGCCCCATGAGGGCCTGCGTGAAGATAGATTAAATACAATCCTAGTCTTGACTTATAGTCGAATTTTATGATTATAACAATTATAAGTAAATGGAAGCCTTAATTTACCACAAACATGTCACGAAATGTCTGTATTTAACCTCATATTTTATATTTAATTGCCTCTCACTAAGTGCTTTTGATATAACTTCACTATTGTCATATTCTATTGCTGAAAAATGGCCGACTGACCGTTATAGACCGTTATTATTTTATAATAAGAAGCACTTTCAAATATGGAATCTATACGCGATAATTTTCAGTAATGACAAACGAACGGTTGATCCAATCGGTTTGTAAATTGGAATTTGGAACGCACTTATTATAACGCTATTCGAATTCGACAATTAAAAATTTTGTTCCGAGAACAGACTACAATCTATTGTCTATGAATTAGAAAAAAAAGTTGACACGATCTGAATTTTTAAAAATCCATGCCATCATTTTTGTGAAGACCGAACCGACCTATCAGTATTCGGAGCAAATGATTTATTTCTTATCTTTATTGTTTGTTAGGTCATTGTACCTACAAAAATTAGTCGTGTATAATAAATAGTACTTGTAAATGTTATATTTATGTTTATAATAGTTCTAATTGGTCAAAATAATTTATTTTTTTAAAAACATTTTATAAAACTTAAGTTTTTGGTTATGTAACTTTTTTATGGCAAACAAGCTAACGGCCCACTTGATGGAAAGTGGTAACCGTCGCCTGTAGACATTGGCAGTACCATGGACATAACAAAGTATACTGTTTCGCCCATGATACCACCCATGCGTTGCCTCAGATTTTATTCCTTTGTACCCTGTAAATTCACTGCCATATCCCACCCTTCAAAGCGAAACACAGCCATGCAAACACAACTGCTTCACGGTTGAAACACGAATAGGACAGAGGTGGCCAAGCAAACGACTTTTGTACAGTCTCCCTCTGGTAAGTGTATCTACAATTCGATATGGCATTTTTTTTTTATGTCATTCGATTCGATCTTACATTTCTATGTGTAAATGTTCAAATTTACACAAATATTAACTAATCATCTTATTCGTCTGTTTGTAAAATTTATATTTGTTTTTATAACGAGGTCAGTGACCTGAATTATAAACAAAATTGTTTGTTTTAATTGTATCGCTAAATGAGTTGCTAAGGCAAATTTCGAGGAAGATTTTTAGGAAGTGATAGTATAATGTAATAGTTGCTCGGGAAAAAGGTAAAAATCCTTTCTTTTTCTAGATTTTCTCGTGGGTGTCGTGAGAGGTAAATGAAGGAACGGTCGACGGATAGGCGACAGCGTCCCTCTTAAAACAAAAGCCTTATTGCGGTTACCGGGGGAAAGGGATTGCTAGTAATGGAGACTGAGAATCCCATTGCTAGCAATATACCCAACCAGGTCGACCTCCTCGCGGTTGCCCCTACAAACTATCATGGTTAAATCCAGATGAATTCATCATGATGGGCTAACTGAGCTGTTTGCTTGTGTTGCCAAGCATGGCTGCTACTGGCAAAACCCCTCTTATGGGGGAGGCCTAGATTCAGCGGTGGACAGTTAACGTCTGATATGATAATGATCAATACACATTTACAAAATTTCATTAAAATCGATTCAGCAGTTTCGGAGATTAGAGTGACCGAACATACTGACACGGCATTTACAATGTTAAGAGGATAAATGCACTGTCAGACAAAGTAGCGAGTATTCAGTATGTTTTACTGCATTAAGCCTTTGAAAATAAGTTCAAGGCTTGTTCCAGTCGACTGCTTGTGAGTCACTCAGGAAACAGTCTTTGCTTTGTTACAAATATTGCAATATAAGCCCTCAGATGTAGTAAAAATCTAAATAGAATTTGTTACATTTCGTCTGCCTCGTCGAAAATCCACCTGTGCACTAGAGATAGGTAACATTAGATATCTATAAATTGAGTTTTCCTGGACATTAATGAGACTTTGTACAAAGGTCGATTGCTTGGGCACCTCTGTTCCATTCGTGTTTCAACCGTGTGTGCATGGCTGTGGCTGTGTTTGCATGGCTGCGTTTCTGTTTGAAGGTTGGGATATGGCGTGAATTTACTGGGTACAGAGGAATAACACCTGAGTCCTCAGGAATGGCAACGCATGGGGGGTATCATGGGCGAAAGAGTACACTCTGTTATGTCCATAGTACTGCTCATGTCTATAGGCGACGGTTACCACTTTCCATCAGGTGGGCCGTCAGCTTGTTTGCTATTTTAAGTTGTATAAAAAAAAGAACCACCCATTGCGATATCGCCAAAACCATTCATTATGGGTATTTACATTTATTACGAGCCGCCTCTTTTAGATATTATACATATATTGGATAACCGATTCTAATATATCTGTTATTGGGCCAATATATGTATAAATTTTGGCACTAAAATATATAGGTATTGCTATATATAATATTACCCTTACTTTGTACATTTTCGTTCGTATAATCTGTATTAATTCTCTGACCGCGCATTTTTCCCTCCATTTTCGTACGTCGCTTTGACAACAAATAGCAGTACGGCATCTAGCGAGATTCTGAGGAATAATATCAATCTAGCAAAACAAAAATGGCGGGATAACAACGTCAATAAACATAAAAAATGCGAGCACGTTGAAATCGCGGGATGCGTAAAATTAAACTAGTAGATACGAGTATTGCACGCGGAAATCGCGGTCAGAGGGTTAAAAGTGAATTTATAAAAGTGTAAATAAATAAATAAATAATCGATTTTCGATTGAAACGAATAAACATGCGACAATTCTAGTGTGAATATCACTTTTCCTTTGCTTTCTTAAAAACCTTACATCGTCATAAACATAGTTTTTTTTTTTTCATTTATTGTGACTTTGGCGAAAGCCATCAGCTAAAAAGTAACAATTACAAGGTAACAGAACACAAAATTACAAGACAAATTACAAATATTACAATGGTTATAAATTAATTATAATATACAAAGAAAGTAAGTTTAGTAGAAAGGTATAAGTTACAATTACTTTTTGAATTTCACCGATTGTTGAAGTAACATAATTAAAAATTTCTTGGTACAAAATGGTATGTTTTAAAAGATCCTGCGCTGAAGTAGGAATATTTTGACATTTTAATAAATCTCGACATTGACTAATGAAAAGTAACCGTTGAAGTGAGAATTTAAGACAAACGAAAAAAAAAATGATCAAAATCAGAAAAAATGTTGTGGCAGTATTTACAGAT